CATTCCTTCGCTCGAGAGTATGTCCATGCAATTTGTAGTCATAAAGAAGTTGGTGCTTTTTATTAGTGAAGGATACGACAAAACATTTGTCAACATTTAATAGCATGTCGTTTCTAGTGCACCACTGGTCGAGGATGTTCAGATTTTCCTGCAGAACCTCCGCATGATTCTGGTTTTCTATTGTCATAAACATCTTGAGATCATCCGCATAGAGCAAGCATGGGCACGTTAAGCGTTCTATAAGATCGTTTATGAAAACGTCAAAAAAAAGGGGCCCGAGGTGCGATCCCTGGGGCACACCAGAGGTGACAACGAGCGGTGCTGACAAATAACCCTTAATTGCAACTAGCTGGCTTCTCCGACTAAGATAAGACTTAATCCATTTTCTTTCTCTCTTTCTCTTATAGCTAGAACTGAAATATGTATTTGTACATACATGTACAAATACATATTTCAACGACCTTTTCGACGACCGTGGCTGAGTGGTTTACACGCCGGGTTTCATGGTGTCGCCGACTCGAGAGGTCCCGGGTTCGAATCCCGGTGGGGGCAGGTGTTTGTGTGATGAATACGAGCATTTGTAATCCAGTCATGGGTGTTTAATATGCATTTCTATATAAATATACTTATATATGTATTCTATCCCTTACCCTAGAATTCCATAACACAAGCCTTACAGTGCTTACTTTGGGGCTTGGCTAATTGCTGTGAATGTTGGAAGTATTTATTTATTTGGTATTAATTATTATACTGGACTGACACTATGTCTATATTGAACACACACATCCCAACTAACACTTAGGCGCTAAGACAAGAGTTATAGTAAATCTACTAAACAGCTAACCAGATCCTAAAGTTATAAATAAGTGTTACCCATTAGAGTTAGAGCGCGCTATATCTCTACTGTACCCCCGAAATGGGCACACTTTTTTATCACCTTAGGTTGTTTAATTGCGGTAAATAAGAGTTACAGAATAGGTTAAGAGGTATAATAAAGCAATAAGAGAGCTATAATAGCGATAACTGAAACTACAAGGGATAAAAACGTGATAAATAGGCGAAAATTCACTCCCTTAGTGGTACAATAGAATAAAATATCGTTTAATAACCCTTTGGGTGCTAAAAGGGCTGCAACTAGGTGAATACTAACTCCCTAAATGGTATGGTAGAACTAAAATGTCGCTCACTATATTTTTAAGTGATAAGAGAGTGGCAAGTAGGTGATTATTACCGCTTTGAACTCTAATATAGACGCACAAAAGCTATAAAAAGGACTTCAGGTGCTAACCTTTTAAACTTCTAAGACTATTTTTTTATTTCGTCAACATAATTTAACCTCTCGTTTTTATGTGCGAACAGTGCGTATGTTAGTATTTGTCGCATCCAAAACGCGGCCATTCATTTGTGAAAATGAAATTAAAAGTATAATCTTTTAGTTTCAACCTAGTGGACACAGAAGTTGACTTTTTACTGCGAAGGAAAGTACACTGTGAATAAGTATATGTATTATTAACAAATTATTCAAGCGCCCGATGTCTGTTGTATATTTACTGAAAAGAAATATTTTATTAGATATGGAGTAACATAAAACTTTTGTAATAATCTAATAAAACGTTGCCTATTCTAGTTTAAGGTATTGTGCTAGTAGTGTTAGAACACAATAAAGCAAAATACTTCAATTAAACCGTGTTTTCTTATGTTTTTCTAACCTTTTTTTAGTTGCGTCGCCATTGCATTACAAAGTAAACGAATGAGGGGTACAGAAGTGGTATTAAGCTCTATTACTCTACCTAAAGTTATACAGAAGTCACAATAACCACTAGAAGTTCTATCATAGGGAAGAATGTTTCTGCTGTTCGACTTTTAGTAACTTAAGAGCATTTTGTACCTCTTTAGGCATTTGGTGGTACAAAAGAATTTATGAGCACCATTGTGGAACTGGTAGTGGTAATTATTGCTTTTGTGCAACTTTTGGTTCTTGGCGAGAGTTTATTATCGCTTGCATAGCACTTTGGGGGGTTGTAGTCAATGCTCACTTCTTATTTAGATCTTTTAGTTGTAAGATTCACTTAAAGCTATAACACAAGATGCTTTGCCCATATTGTAGAGTTAAAAAATGCTGCTGTATGTCTTTAACCTTTAAACTCACCCTGTTATCACCCTTGTAATTCTGTGGTAGCTCTACGTGAAATATTTTGCTTGTTTACGCTCTTTTGTCGCCAAAAGTTTGTAAGTGCTGCTGCTGTAGCGCCTTTATATCTCGGTCAGTTCTAAAACAAGCTCTAATTGACGCCTAAATGTTTGTTGGGATATACATATATACAGTAAAACCCGTTTAAGACGATTTCACAGGGTTATTTGTGTTATAAAAATGTAGTATATTATTATTTATTATTACGTTATTGAGGAGCGCGGGTGGTTAGCGCGTTCTGCTGCGATCGTTGAAGTTAAGCAACTTTCGCAGTGGTCGGTCATTGGATGGGTGACCAAAAATTTACTATCTCGAGCTCCTCCGTGCTTTGGAAGGCACGTTAAGCCGTTGGTCCCGGTTGCATCTGCAGTCGTTAGCACCCACCAATTCGCACTGGGCCAGCGTGGTGGGTCATGGCCCAATCTCCCTATTCCATAGAGAAGGCCTGTGCCCCAGCAGTGGGGACATTAATAGGCTGATGATGATGATGATGATTACGTTATTTAAATTAATCACTTATTTTAATCTGCCAAAAAGATTTTGCGGCATTAGAAATTACAAGATTTTCAACATAATTTAACATTTTAACAACAACAAAGAAGTTACATATGGCGTCTTAAATCATTAACTCCCGACAAAATCGGAGTTGACTCATCTTCTTCTTGATCATTATCACTTAGGGCTCTTCTTGTGTGTTATTCACATTCTCATTAATTTTTTTACGTCGCCACATTATCATCAATGGAAGAATATTCAGGAAAAGCCTGGGAGCCGCTTAGCGTGCGTCGCTTCATGAAATGGTCACATTTCATGAAAAGTTTCATTATCTATTGGCCACATCATGATGTGGTTTGGGCAGATCAATGATGAGAAATCGTTTCACGATATGGCCAACTAAACGCGTGGCTACTTCATGAAATGGCAAAAATTATTTGATCATATCGTAAAGTAGTAACTACTTTATTAATTACCGGTAGAGGCGCTGCAAGCGCTTTGTTTATATATTTATATGGCGGCCGCTGCCGACAATGTTGTTTCTCGCAGTGAAAAAGTGCATAATTCGTTATTCAATGAGGAAGAAAGTTAACAAAAGGGTTTTCGACGAAACAAATTAAGGAGAGTAGGGTGACTACGCAAAAGAAATCTATGGATTATTACTGGCTGTCAAAATATGACATTTCGGAAACTGCGGTTGAGGTACAAAGTGCGGATGAGAATCAATGCCGTACAAAGATATACTGTAAAACTGTACTTCCAGGGCCCAAGAGGTGATACTTGAATTTCTTTTGTAGAAAAGGTCTCTTTTAATAGTTTTTTTCGCCGCCGCTGCCGCGGCACGCTCGCTTAGCTCGCTCGGCTCGCGCGTCATGGTCACAACACAAACCTAACCTAGTGTGAAATATTACCGTTTGAGCCCTGGAAGAACAGTTAAGTCTACTATTGTAATATGTACCAAAGTACCTTATTATTTCTAAATATAAATGTGTAAGTTCTTGACATGTTTGATGTTCAATTTAGGAAAAAAAATCTTTAATTTGTTTATTTTGTTACAAAAATTTGATTAAATTTGTTTGTGTCATTCGGACTTAAATAACAATAAACAAGTTATGATTTTATTTATTTTTTAAGCATTTAACTGCTAGATATTTAGATCTAAAGAAAAGTGTACTAGAAAAAAATCCACGCGGACCAGGCAGCGGACGGGACTCGAACCCGCACCCTTTGCTCCCGTCCCGTCCGCTGCCTGGTCCGCGTGGATTTTTTTCTAGTAAACTTTTCTTTAGAAATAAACAAGTTCTTACATATTCTGGATTTTTAATAAATATTTTATGGACACCCTAATTATACGATCCGGCCAAATGTGTATGACCAAATCGTTAATGTTGACGATTTAATGATCTGGTCAAATTAAGTTGGCCACATCATGAATTCATGAAATTCTCGAGCATTTCATGAAGTGATCAATTCTACGATATGGCCACGACATATGTATACAGATGGAGCTAAAGAAGTTTCACTTCAGTCATGTGGTCATAAGCAGACTCGTTTTTTTATCACGAAAAAAAATAAGGTCCTGGGGTTTCTCAACAAACTAAAGAAATAGCGGGCGAAGTGGCGGGCAGGCGCTAATAATAAGATAATTTGATGTGTCTTCCTACATAAAGATAATATAAAAACGAAATACTTAAATCTAAAGAAAATTTCCCATCAGGGCCGCGGTAGCATAATGGTCAGCGCATTCGCCCGGATAGCAAAGGGTGCGGGTTCGAGTCCCGTCTGTTGCCTTGTCCGATTTTTTTCTAATAAAATTTTCTTTAGTTTTAAACATCTAGCTGTTAAATGCTTAAAAAATCAAATAAAAATATAACGAAATACTTATAATAACTCTTGCACAATGAAAAATAAAACGCATCCAATGGGATCAATCAATGAATTTTATTTATATTTCATAAAAATTAACACTACACGTTGCCTTACAAGAAAATGACTCAAAATATACATTTTGACGCGTCCCGTCGAGAGCACACGCGGCCTGGACTCGTCACCACAAAATTTTACCACACCATCATCACGTGGCCATGGATTTTAACCATACTAATGTCATGACCACGGAACTTCACCACGCCAACGTGACGTGACCTTGGATTTTTTACCACAGGACTGTCATTTGACCAATTAACTTTACCAAGGCCACGTGACGTGACCTTGGATTTTTACCATAGGACTGTCATTTGACCATTTAACATTACCAAGCCCACGTGACGTGACCTTGGATTTTTACCACAGGACTGACATTTGACCATTTAACTTTACCAAGCCCACGTGACGTGACCTTGGACTTTTACCACACCACTGTCATTTGACCATCCTAATTTACCAAGCCCTCGTGACATGACCTTGAATTTTTACCACACCACTGTCACTACTAGACCATCTTAATTTACCAAGCCCTCGTGACGTGACCTTGGATATTTACCACGATACTGTCATTTGACCATCTAAATTTACGAAGACCACGTGACGTGACCTTGGATTTTTACTAAGACACTGTCATTTGACCATCTAACTTTACCAAGCCCACGTGACGTGATCTTGGATTTTTACCACACTACTGTCATTTGACCATGGAACTTAACTAAGCCGTTGTGACGTGACGTGACCATGGAACTTTACCACGCCGCCATCACAGTACAGTCAAGGTAGTCTGCAACCTGCCACTTTCAGACGATGTTAGTTTGAACTACGTTATTAGTATACAATTCTTTACTATATCCATATGTAAAGGGGGAACACAGAAGAGGATAATTCATAAAAAAAATTCAATTGTGATTAATAGAAGAACAGTGAAAAGATATTCAGTCCATTTATAACGAAAAATACAATCTTTACATTCTTACATTTGTACCTAAAGACGTTTATGTAGATTTTTCGATTTGAAATAAATCGATTTTAATGAAATTTATATAATTACATCATCAGGTCGCAAATTTCAAGATTCATTATAGCTCATCCGCGTCGCTTGAACAGCAATTTAATTAAATATACGTCAAACTTTTATCAAAATTTACCTTACTTTAAAATAATGTAAGGATTCTGAATAATAATGTTGGTGGTTAATGGTAGTGTTGAATATTATTTCAAAATATAGCTTTTTCTTTTATTCCTTTAAATATTTGTGTGTGTTACAAAGAGACCCCTCTTTCCCAGTGGGCACTTTGGGCAAGTGCCAAGGGCCCCGCGATCGATAGGGGCCCCCCTCAGATCAAATACAAAGTCCCTAGTTCCTGTTAAATCACCAAACGGGGGTCATAGCGGCCCCATTATCCTAATATGCCCAGAGCCTCCAATAGGTCAAAGACGGCACTGGTTACAAATATAGTGTAAGGTACTATCGCTAAAATGGCAGACCGCACACTCGTTCGACTGTACCGGCATAATTTAATTTTTTGCCTTTTATCACATTAATGTAATAAATAAATACGTCACTTTGGAATTATTTGTAAAAAAATATTACTAAGTAATATCCTAATCAAGAAATCTAAAAAAAAGTTCATGTGCGTGTTGCACTCATACGATAAGGGTTTGCCAGAAGCAAAAAAAAAATTATGCTGTCTTGTATGTGGGTGTTCATACATACATTTTTAAATTTATCATTACATATTTTTATATAGCGGCTATATAAATTCTCATTGTGTGAATATTGCGGAAGCAAAACAAAAAATTGTTGCTATAACTCGTGTCATTAAAGAAAAAAGTTGAAAATTCCGACATGCTGTCCCTTTCGCACGTTACTTAGAACAGCATCTGCGAGAGGGACAGAAAGTCTCAAGTCTTTATATACTTTTAATTACGAAATCCTAAAATGATTTCAAAATCGTCTTCATCCTTTGATAGAAAAAAATCTTAATTTCACTATAGAAATGCTAAAATTTGTTATACCTACCTAGAGTTGTATACTCTTGAAGTAAAACCGAAAAAAAAACATCCGCCTTATTTCAAAAACTATCGGATTAAAGTTAGTCTTGATTTAAACCTAATGTCGTCCCCGTTTTCTTTTTAGCAAGCAAAAGTGACAGTATCAGTTTAGTCCAGATTCAAATTTAATTACAGTTAAAGGACATGGCTAAGAAACTGCCCTTAACGTGTATAATTATTTTGCACTAGCCCATAATTATATAATATTTTTTTATTAATTATTACGTATTTATAATTCTCTTACAACTTTCGTGAAATAATCAAATATTTAAGAGTAAAAAATTGACTTCATGTCTGTTTCAAAAGGGAAATGTTCCGTTTTACTCAAATAAATGAACAATAAATGTATACTAAAAATATTTCTGTCAGTATATCGAAATAAACAATATTAATTCAAAACTTCCAAAAACTATGACATATTTGGCCCTTATTTTTATTATAATAAAATCACTGAAGGCCTATAATAATAGGTTTTATTTTTCTGATCAGGCTTGAGAGAAGGCTGTATGATAATTAATGCTTTGATTTTTGCCAATGAACAAAATAAAACTTCACAGATTTCATGTCAGGCCGACAACAACAAATTATTTGTATTCATTTTTACTTATAAAATGCTTTTTGTGAAGTGTTAATCAGATAAATGTGAAGAAATATTCTAAGAAAATGCGAATTTGATGGCTCTGTAAATAATTGGCAACATCTTTTATCAAATGTAGCAAGGTAATGACGTCGTAGGAGATCTCATAATTTTCAAGATTGTGACTTTATCAAAAGTTCCTGAGCCCCTTTTCATAGAAATTATAAATATTCAGCAATTCTGCATTATATATTACTAAGTAAAATATTTATACATTGCTAGGGCAGTCGCTCATACAAAATTTTACCATGTCCTTTGTTAATTCACAGCCTAATTCAATTCATAAAGATTCATCATACCCGAAATAGATTAGATTATATAAATTTTATAACAATTACGGAAAAACAATATTACTTCAACTTAAACATACAGACAGGACAGTTAGCATTTTATCTTATTCGACTTGGTAAACAGTCAATAATTTGGCAATAAGCTGTATTTTTAAGTTTTCATTGTATTTATTATTAAAACGATAATCAAACGTTAGATAGGTTGTCAATCTAACAGCAACTTTACAAACGTGTGACGTCATTTAGTCTCAGCCAATCCTAGGCAGTTGCGATCACGTGACAACATAATACAAAAATAACGTGTTATTTTGCGATTTCCTTCTTTAAATTATGAATTTAACAAGTTTTGAAAATGGCCATACTTTATTTATTTGTGTACAGTGACTTCACTAAGAGTGGATATTTATAACTCTGGTGCATATAATCAGTAATGAAACGAAAATAAAATATTTAGTTTTCAAATATGCCGCCGAAACGTTCATCAAGCGAATACGGTGTGTTTACAGGCTGGTGACGTCATTCGCGCTCCACCAATCCCAGGCGTTTTCTGACACGTGACAAAAAACATAAAAACGCTTCTTATTAATGATTTTAAAGTAATACTATTAGCTGTTTTTTGTTAGAATATTGGATTTATCGCTCCCAATATTCATGTTACATGATACACATGCCAAGATTGGTGCTTCAATGTTCATACTCACAAATGAAAAGTTACATCGATGTCAATAATTGGTAGTTTATTTTGAATACTGTCAAATAGCTTTTTGCTATTTTTTTCTTTCAAATTGTAAAACTATTCATTTGACATTGTGGGTTACCTTCAATGAGAAGAGATGGCGCTGCGTTGTTGCCTAAGAAATACTAGAGGAAATTCGACACGCCTATTGAGGTGTCGGGAGCATAACTGGTTAGTTCGTCCGCCCGTATGGTGAAGGGTGCGGATACGATTCCTGTGTGACGCCTCGACTGAATAGTTTTTTTTTCTAAGAATAATTATTTAAAGTGTATTCACGTCTCTAAGTTTGGCTGTGAATGTTAAATTAGTAGGTAATTATTGAGGTGTGGCTGGCTCGTGGACGGCGTGTTGACCGCGTGTGGACTTAATTTGTTTCTATTTGGTGCTGAACCCCGTCAAGCGCCAACTATAAAAAAATAAAAAATCATCTTTAGATATATAGAAAAACAACTCAATCATTAAATACCAAATTTTCAGTTTTGTAACTCATTCTGTTTACGATCTACAGAGCAGTGACAGACGGAAAGACAGACCACATAGTGGCAGCAATAGGGTTCCGTTCTGTCCCTACCTTAAAAAGTATGGCACTTAGATTAAAGCAAAAAGGGAAGATACGGCACTCGCGGCTCAAAAGTGATCCGCTTAAATTGTGGTGCATGACCACAATTCGCTTTAGTCACAATTGGACATTCAAACACACTGCATGCGAACTCAATATAACAATATTGCGTATATTATGTGATATAAAGATAAAACAATGCCTTCGATGCTTTTATAAATAACACAAATAGTGCAAAATCATAATCAAATTCCACGGCATCACTTTTCATTCGTAAAACTATAAAAAACCTTCCTATTTTCTTTCCTGGCCTTCAAATATGGCCTTATGTATGATTTAAATTTTTGTAATCTGAAAACTTAATTAATAATTAATACAATGTTTAATACACTAAGGAATAATGATTGACAGATAAATGACTTGGAATAAATGTATGTTATTAATAATGTTTAATTTAATTTTTGACGAAACGTAAGTGGATATAATAGGGGTGACGACGGGGTACAGTATACGAAATTCTATTTAGTCCGTCAGTTAGATAATCAATAAATAATGGACACGTATTTTTCTTTGGGCAATCAACCAAGAAATTACAAAGTTTTAGCGCGTCAAAGTTTGGGAGTAGGGGCTCTTGACGTCAATTTTAAGTGAAAATTTTACCAAAACGTGACGTCATGCGACATTTTAAATCAATATATCTCTGCAATGTTTATATTATGTGAAAAAAAATGTGTCCAATACTTTTTGATAATCTATAAAATTGAAAAAATATAAAAAACTAATTTAAAAAAAAGTTTAGGAATGCCGTGTCGTACTGTTTAGGCGTAAAAACAAGGGAACGATTAAATACAACTATTATTAGTACCCAATGTAGCAAGAGCAGACTCATCTCCGCTGCCAGCGTCCGTTCACGAGCATGACGCATGAACCAGCACTTCGTTCAACCAATTTTTAGGGAACGCAACGAAAAAACTAAACTAAAGTCGGTATATAAATAATGTGATGAAACCTGTCACTGCTTGGAGCGCCTGCTGGGTTCCGTAGCAGTGGGTGGAGGGGGGGGTCCCTTCTTGTCCATCTCCTCCAGGTATGACGTCAGCATGCCCTCTCTCTCCTCGGCGATGTGCTCCAAAGCTAGGTACCTGCTCAAACAAATATACTTGTCAAGGGAAAGGAGTAGTTTTGAAGGTGTCACCGACCTTGCTTGGTAGATTTAGTTTTTTCAAGTGTTTTTTATTATGTAGGTATTAAGTTATAAATTTATGTTTAAAATAAAAAAGGGATGATTTTTGAAGTGAAAACTTCTTTAGCGGCGTTGTACACTTTTTTTTGTATGGGTAAAAAATGTTAAACTCGCGTCAGGTCAAACACGTGGGCTGATCGCATCATGACACACAATAAAATTGGAAAGGTTGTTGACTTTCAATATATTGGACGAAACATAGTAATGTTTTATTCTATCGTATTATAATAATAAGTCTCTATCTAGGACGTCCACGTCCTAGATAGAGACTAGATAGAGTCCGCGAAGAAAATGCATTTTTTTACAATAGATGTCGCTAAGTGCGCTTAAACGTGATTCATGTAAGTAGATTTTTCTGAGAGATAAACTTTTTCAATGTAATATAAATTGTCATGTTTGTGTACGATAGCGCAATAAATAAATATTGTATTCTACCACATACATGATAGTGATTTTATACTGATATTAAAAGCAATTCGCGCAAAATTATTCCCTAACCATTCCAAAATATCAAAAATGCACAACGTTAATATTCAAGTTTTCACTTCTGCCGGCACTCGCGGAGTGCAACCCGTCGTCTTTTTTATTTCTACTATCAAAAATGTGCGTACTCGTTGTCTCTGTGACTGTCATCTTGTTATAAATTATATTATTTTGTGAATTACTAGAATACTCGAATAGTGCCGAAATTCTCTGATCTGTCAAGGTTATTTGTCTGTTTCCAGTAATAAATGGTGGAACGCATTCTTGGCCGCTTGGTTCTGTGTTACACATGACTTAACGGAATCATGCAAGATATTAAACTCGGTAAAGTCGTTAATGTTGACAAAGTTAAAAAAAACTATTATGTTTTATGGCAGTATTGGAAAGAATTATTAACGACCTCCGTGGCCGAGTGGTTTGTACGCCGGGATTTATTTTGTCGCTGTCTTGAGAGGTCCTTGGTTCGAATCCCGGTGGAGGCAGATGTTTGTGTGATGAATACAAGCATTTGCACTCCGGTCATGGATGTTTAATATGTATTTCTATATAAATATACTTATATATGTACAGTATATGTATTCTATCCGTTACCCTAGCATCCCATAACACAAGCCTTACAGTGCTTACTTTGGGGCTAGGCTAATTTGTGTGAGTGTTGGAAATATTTATTTATTATTGAAGTCGTCAAACTCGAAAAACTTGTCAAAGCATCTATACTATAGTCGTGTCATGTGACAGTCCAATGGTACTCGATATTCACAAAAAACGGCGAACTGGTCAAACTCGTCTAATAGTGTTGCCCATCGATAGTCGACCATCGATGATTAATCGATATTCTATCGATAGCCAACCAATCGTATGACAATCGATCGGCTTATCGATAATATCGATACTATCAATAGTATCGATATTATCGATAGCACAGAAAAAGCAATACTGTCGGATGAGTTAAATACTATCGATAGCATTGTAGTTCGTGAATAAAAAAACTATCGATAGTATCGATACTGTCGATTTTATTTGCAAACATACTTTCGATAGTTTAACAATTTGCAATACAATGGTTTACAATTTTCAGGTATTATAGTCAATCACAAACTTTAGTCTAAAACAATCGCGAGTATCGATACTATCGATAGTATTGTTGCAGATAAAATCAACAGTATCGATTATATCAATAGTTTGTTATTAAGGAACTACAATAGTATCTATAGTATTGCACTTATTCTATAGTATTGCCTTGTTCTGAGCTATCGATAGTTTCGATACTATCGGTTGTATCGATTCTATCGATACCCTATCGATGAAAATTATTTGATTTTCGATGAAAATTATCGATAGTTTTAATATTGTCACAAACACTCTCGAAACGTAACCGCGAAAGTGCCAGAGATCGAATTTGCTAGATCACCGCGGGTCGCGATAGAGGTCGAGTAATGCGGCTCATTCTAAAATGAGCCTTATGCAGTGCGGCGTAAGGGAGAAAGTGCAACGACATCTGCACTTATTTACAAGTTATGCGCGTTACCTGCGTAGGTATAGGGAGGCACTTCGTACTCGCGGGTGCTAGCTAATTCTCAATTTAACAAACTTTCTAGAATGCGTTGATCGGCGTATATAAGCGCGATTGGCGCCGCGCACAGACAGTTGAGTTTCAACATCGATTTCGGAGCGAATCCAAAGGCGATCAAAGTGCAACAAAAGTGTTCAAGTGCGATAGTTTAGAGACTTGTATAGTGAAATACAGTGTTTAGTGAGTGTTTCGTAATTAACATTGTGTGAACTGTGTGGTGAATAAAGAACTGTCAAGCGTGAACTGGCATATAATTTCGAACCCCATGTAACCCCGACACGTAACAATATCGATAGTTCGGCAACACTATCGTCCAAGTCAATCCATTTTTGCCGTTGCAACATTATGCTGAGGTGGGGCCTAGTTGACGATAGGCATTTTGTTTTATGTTTTATGTGTATTTATTGTAACTGTTAATGTAGGTACGTCGTCAATGAATGTTTTTGTTTGTTTGTTTGTTTCAAGTGGTAGTGGTGGTGGTACTCGCTGCGCACTCACCTGGCGTCGTGCTTCAAGGTCTGGTGTATGGCCTGCAGAGCGGCCGGGTTCTCGTTGACGGCCGCGTGGCTCTTGTGGGTGATGGACCTGGTCTCCAGCAACAACTGGCGGAACGCAGTCTTTGCAGCACTCTGCTTGTCGCGCTGGTAATCGCGGAATTCTCGCTCCATCTGGTGGATAAATGAATTCTTTAATCTGATAGAAAAATATTATGAATCGATGAAATGAAATGAAAAATCTTTATTAGCCACCTTGTATATAGGAATTAGAGAAAAAATAAATAAAAAAAACTTAACCTAAGAATCTATTTCTATGAGGCCTATGTCCAGCAGTGGGCGTCGTACGGCTGATATGAACCTAAGAACAAAAATTAATCACTAGCTACTAGTGGCCGGCCTCGCTTCGCCTCGGGGTAGAATTGATCAAAATCCTTTCTTAGCGGATGCCTACGTCATAACATCTACCTGCATGCCAAATTTCAGCCCGATCCGTCCAGTGGTTTGGGCTGTGCGCTGATAGATCACTATGTCAGTCAGTCGGTCACCTTTGAGTTTTATATAAATATACTAGCTGACCCAGCGAACTTCGTACCGCCCTAAAAAAATAGGGGTTGTCCAGCGGACAAAATTGTGAATCTAAACCATTCTCAGATCCCCTTGAACACACACAAAAAATTTCATCAAAATCGGTCCAGTCGTTTAAGAGAAGTTCAGTGACATACACACTCACAGAAGAATTATATATATAAAGATATATATATAATCTATAAAACATTGCCTTTTTCTTAATCCTATACATATAAACAAAATTGTAAGGCTGTTTGTAATATTGAAATAACCGATTGTTACTACATGCATATGAATATATATACGGTACATACACCAAAATAACATTATTCACAATTTTTATCTCTCTGTCTGTTTGTTCCGGCTAATCTTTGAAATGGCTGGACCGATTTTGACGGGACTTTTATTGGCAGAAAGCTGATGTAATAAGGAGTAACTTAGGTTACTTTTACTTTAGAAAAAAACTTTTTTTTTTAGAAAAAAACTAAAAGTTTACGCAGGCTGCCGCTAGTGATTCATATAAATGTAATTTATCAACACTGATAACAATAAGATTATTCTACAGAAAACATAACTAGAAAATATTCCACGCGGACCAGGCAGCAGACGGGACTCGAACCACTTCACCGAACCCTTTGCTATCCGGGCGAATGCACTGACCATTATGCTACCGATTGTGGGTTACCTACAATGCGAAGAGATGGCGCTGCCTTGAGTGACACAAAACATACCTAGCCTGTGAGACGCAGTTTAAGTGAATCTTCTAGTTTAAGTGAGTCTTCCCTTCGCCGCGAACCAGATGTATCACTCACCAATCGCCTGTTATCACCCATCAATGCCGACTATCACCCACCAATACCCTATTATCACCCATCAATCCCCTATTATCACCCATCAATCCCCTATTATCACCCATCAATCCCCTATTATCATCCATCAATCCCGATTATCACCCATCAATCCCCTGTTATCACCCATCAATGCCGACTATCACCCACCAATACCCTATTATCACCCATCAATCCCCTATTATCACCCATCAATCTCGACTATCACCCACCAATACCCTATTATCACCCATCAATCCCCTATTATCACCCATCAATCCCCTATTATCATCCATCAATCCCGATTATCACCCATCAATCCCCTGTTATCACCCATCAATGCCGACTATCACCCACCAATACCCTATTATCACCCATCAATCCCCTATTATCACCCATCAATCTCGACTATCACCCATCAATCCCGACTATCACCCATCAATCCCCTGTTATCACCCATCAATGCGGACTATCACCCACCAATACCCTATTATCACCCATCAATCCCCTATTATCACCCATCAATCTCGACTATCACCTATCAATCCCGACTATCACCCATCAATCCCCTATTATCATCCATCGATCCCGACTATCACCCATCAATCCCCTGTTATCACCCATCAATGCCGACTATCACCCACCAATACCCTATTATCACCCATCAATCCCCACTATCACCTACCAATCTCCTGTACTCAAAAGTGGGTTGTTTCAATGATCACTTCTGTAGTGAGACGCACACACTTTTTTTTTAAAACATATCATCTTTTTTTTGTCTATTCTTTACCACAGAGAATTGCCAGAGGAACTCGTGGCCGAAACATGTTCAAAAGGTACATTGTACGATCCACGGAGTTTTGTAAGGTGATCGCGGGGTCCGAAACCATATAAGGCATTATTTAAACATTGAAAGTCACCTTTAATGCATACTGCATAAGGTCTTAATTAAAACGCATGCGTCAAAGACTTCTGACAGTTCGAAATGCAAGCTCGTGAAATTTTACGACTTATATATGCGGAAGAATATAGACCTTATTCTTTTGACTCCACGCGCAATTCTGAATGCGCATTTATTCATTTACTAAATTCCACAGACGTAATCTTCCAGGAAGTATTTAATGAATATAAATTCACTTTTTGACTAACAGCGCAAGGCTCAGGCGCCGTTAAACGTTCTTCATAAGCGCACCAAATCGAAAAGTCTTTTTTGTTTTCCGGTTGCGGCGCCACCGTCGCGCGCACCATTTTTTTGTTTTTAATTATAGGAAGGGAAACATGTAGGCAAAGGAATTAATAGTTTACAAGGATTGGCTAATGTTTATACAGCTAAATATATGACGGATAAATTTTAAAATAATATTGTAATCCATTTGTATTCCTGTTTTGTTATTTTATTTAATTGACCTATCTTGTAATTTGACCTATAATTTAATTTGGCATTATCTTCATTTTGACATGTATTCTAATTTGACATTATGGTAAGGTTTTTGTATATATCCATTATTATTATTATTACTTTCAAAATGTGACTTAGACATCTCATTTATCAAATTATAATTTCTTTTTAGATTAATATAAGTACTTAATTGGCATTGTTAGAATAATGCAATTAATAGTGAACTAAATGTAATAACATTGCATGTCAACAAGACAGAATATGGCTGAACATAATATAATTTGTATACTTGAACACAACACAATATTACCTGTATTCGCAATAAAAAATATTTGAATTTGAACAGCTACATTACCTGCGAGGCGCTAGTATAGGCAGGCGCGTTGGGCTGTTTCTCTAGCTGAGCCCTCACGTCTCTCCAGTGCGCTGTACAAGATACGCCCAATGTGGTCAGCAAAGCGCGTAATTTATCCCGACGTTTGCTGGCCAATGTCGACGTGTGCTGACCGAATAGACGCTCCTAGGAACAAGGAATAGTAAAAATTGACAAATGACGTTTTGTATAAAAATTAATTCCCAAGTTATAGTTTTTGAACAAATGGAGGCAGGTACATTTACCATTTATTCAGGCACTTCTGTGCGTGGGCAAGATAACTCTACTATGTTCAAAAAGCATTTTTTATAACCATGAAAAGTGTCCCAATATTGAGCAATTTTGAAATGCTTAGTGGGAAACCTGTTTCAAAAATAGTTGTTTTGTTATGAGTATCATGCGTCGAAGCCCTGCTTAATATTTTAATATAAACAAGTTTTTGATATGTAACATCTTTCCTCTCGCTTTCCTGCAATTTGTGGGAGTGATTTCGTGAAATGGGACGGAAGTGTGTAACAGGAAGTCGCGAAAGCGCCGTGCTATTTGATTTGAGTTTAGAACATAATGTTCAAATGGCTTATTCCTTTCGTAGTACAGTGTTTGCTTTTGGGCAGGGCGTTGCTGTATCTCTGACATTGACACTCGTACTACTGACACATGTAGGACAGCTGTTTTGTCTATGATGTCGAACTGCTTGAGGTCAACGTAACTGTCAAACTTCATTGGTTAGGTTGGTAGCATTGAAAGATTAGTTTCTTTTTTTTCATTCGACTCAAAAATCGACTTCGACTTATAAAAAAAAACTAATCAGTTACTTTAAATTATTGTGATGGATGGCCCTGTTGAATTTACCAAGTGTTAAATTTTGAATTAATTTTTCCATATCGATTTGAGTCCTCAATCAGTCACTTTTCCAAGGTAACAGAATGCATATAATGATACATATATAAGTATATTCAAATAGAAATACATATTAAACATCCATGACTGGATTACAAATGCTCGTATTCATCACACAAACATCTGCCCCCACCGGGATTCGAACCCGGGAACCTCTCGAGTCGACGACACCATGAAAACCGGCGTACAAACCGCTCGACCACGGAGGTCGTCAAATTTCTATTCGATTGGCTAATATGCAATTTTTGAATATGAGAATTGAAATTTAACCTAATCAAGGCAAACTGAAGTGGCAGTAGGCTGGTCACATTAGCCGCAGAACTGACAGCCGTTGGAGCCGGAAAGTTCTTGAGTGGAGACCGCGACGTAAACGTAGGTAAGGTAAACGTAGTGTGGGACGCCCTGTGACAAGATGGGATGATGACATTCGTACAAGGGCGGATCCAGCTTTGGCGCCAGGGGGGGGGGGTCATATAGCTAGCTTTGGCGCCAGGGGGGGTCATATAGCCAGCTTTGGCGCCAGGGGGGGTCATATAGCCAGCTTTGGCGCCAGGGGGGTCATATAGCCAGCTTTGGCGCCAGGGGCGGTCATATAGCCAGCTTTGGCGCCGGGGGGGGGTCATATAGCCAGCTTTGGCGCCGGGGGGGTCATATAGCCAGCTTTGGCGCTGGGGGGGGTCATATAGCCAGCTTTGGCGCCAGGGGGGTCATATAGCCAGCTTTGGCGCCAGGGGGGTCATATAGCCAGCTTTGGCGCCAGGGGGGGTCATATAGCCAGCTTTGGCGCCGGGGGGGTCATATAGCCAGCTTTGGCGCCGGGGGGGTCATATAGCCAGCTTTGGCGCCGGGGGGGTCATATAGCCAGCTTTGGCGCCAGGGGGGGTCATATAGCCAGCTTTGGCGCCAGGGGGGTCATATAGCCAGCTTTGGCGCCAGGGTGGTCATATAGCCAGCTTTGGCGCCAGGGGGGTCATATAGCCAGCTTTGGCGCCAGGGGGGGTCATATAGCCAGCTTTGGCGCCAGGGGGGTCATATAGCCAGCTTTGGCGCCAGGGGGGTCATATAGTCGTGGTATATTAAATATTGAAAGTACTTAAATAAAATCCCCCTGGGTTTGGTCCATCTGTACCCAGCCCAGGTCATGACCCCCATGACCCCCCCCCCCCCCCTGGATCCGCCCTTGCATTCGTAGGCTGGCTGGAGTGGGCTGGATGAGAGTGGCACAAAATCGGGAGCAGTGGCGTGCATTAGGGGAGACCTATGTCCAGCAGTGGACGAGCATGGGTCGATGATGATGATGAAGGCTAACTTTTGACACGCGTTCCACACATAGCTTCCAACATACCTTGTCTTCCTTGGTGAGTAGTTCTGCGAGGCTGTACCGGTGGTCTTTCCTCAGCTGCTTCTTGGCCTCGCGCCACGACAGCTCCGGGTTGCGGACCAGATCCGCCAGGAGGGCGTTGAAATGCTAAACGATAACGAAAACCGTCATTGCGTTTTAATTTTGAAGTGAAAACTTCTTTGGCGGCGTTGTACACTTTTTTTTGTAATAGGTTAAAAAAAATTGAACTCGCTTCAGGACACGTGGGCTGATCGAAAATTCGTAAGACGGATGGAGAGTAGACTTTCTACGGCGCGGCGAAAATGTATGCCTGCGCCTGCTGTTTCGTATAGGCGGCGCAGGGCGCTTGCGCCCATCATGCTACCGCGGCCCTGATGGTCTTGCTGAATTTTCACTAGTGTTTCTTAAGCTGCAAAGCCGCGTGGTATTTTTTCTAGTAAACTTTTCTTTAGATTTAAACATCACGGACCGCGTCGAAATTCTTCTAGCCATTCTTAAGCTGCAAGGCAGCGCCATCTCTTCGGGTTACCTATAATGCGAAGAGATGGCGCTGCCTTGCAGCTTAAGAATGGTCAGAAGAATTTCGACGCGGTCCGTGAGGGCCGCGGTAGCATAATTGGTCAGTGCATCGCCCGGATTGCGAAGGGTGCGGGTTCGAGTCCCGTCTGCTGCCTGGTCCGCGTGGATTTTTTTCTAGTTATATTTTCTTTAGATTTTAACATCAAGCAGTTACATGCTTTAAAATAATAAAAATTATAACTAAAAATGTATACTTTTTAAAATTTTACTCATTTTTAAATATGGAGTGGACGCTTAGAGAAGACCGTGTTGCAGTTATTGCGTTGCATCGTTGCGGTTACGCGCCAATGCAAATCTTTGACATACTGAAAATATTTAATATAACCAAAATATTCGTTTATCGAACCATCAAACGATACAATGAAGACTCTAGTGTAGATGACAGGTCAAGAAGTGGTCGCCCTCGGTCTGTTAGGACTCCAGCAGTGATAAAAGCTGTGAAGGCGCGAATTCAAAAAAAATCTCAAACGTAAGCAGAAACTGTTGGCCCTTCAGATGGGGTTAAGCAGAACCACGGTGAAAAGAGTGTTAAATGAAGACTTAGGGATTCGGGCATATCGAAGAAAAACAGGACATCGTTTGAATGCTCGTCTAATGGATCTGAGACTGAAGAGATGCCGCGCTTTGTTGAAGCGGTACGCGGGAAAGAAATATCGGGAAATTTCTTTTTTCGGATAAAAAAAATTTTACCGTAGAAGAGAGCTACAACAAACAAAATGATAAGGTGTACGCACACAGTAGTGAAGAAGCGAGCAACCGTATTCCGCGTGTCCAACGAGGTAATTTTCCATCTTCGCTCATGGTATGGTTGGGAGTTTCTTATTGGGGCTTAACAGAGGTACATTTTCAGATTAAAGGCCTGTATTCAAAATCACGGAGGTCATTTTGAATAAACTTTATTGTCATAAGAATCTATGTTTTGTTAAGTTCATTTTGGTATATAAATGGTTATATAATGAATAAACTTGTTTCAATTATTTTATATTAAACATGTGACAGAATTTATGACCTGACTATATTATGAGGTATTTATACAGAAATACATATTAAACATCCACGACTGGAGTACAAATGCTCGTATTCATCACACAAACATGTGCTCCCATCGGGACTCATTCGAATTCGGGACCTCTCAAGTCAGCGACACCATGAAACCCGGCGTACAAACCACTCGGCCACGGAGGTCGTCTACAGCGTATATAAAATAATAGCGTCACTGATGCGCAGAGTCAGGGGTAGCTCTAACAGCATCTTGGCCGTCATAGCAGGCAAATAGGGATGATGACTAATTTTTTTTTCTTCGTTTATCAGGTAGATTGTCAAAAAGTATTGGACACGTATTTTTTCTTTTTTCACATAATATAGACATTGCAGAGATATATTGATTTGAAAAGTCGCATGACGTCACGTTTGAGTACACTTATAAGTGAAAATTCACTCAAAAGTGACGTCACGAGCCCCTGCTCCAAAACTTCGACGCGCTATAACTTTGTCATTTTTTGGTTGATTGCCCAAAGAAAAAATACGTGTCCATTATTTTTTGATCATCTAACTGACGGACTAAATAGAATTTCGTTTACTGTACCCCGTCATTACCCCTATTGGAGAGTCCGTTGTGGAGACATTGGGTATCTCGTGTCTCCACATATATTAAATATAGAAAATAGTTTAAATAGAATAGAAATATGTACTAACATAGTTTCTAAGTTTTAATGTTACTAACCCTCTATGGACTATACGGTCTGAAACAAATGATTATTATTATTTTATTTATTGAAGTTATACTTCTTTAGGCGCGTTATGAAAAAATGATGAGAGTAAAATTTTAAGATGCGCGCGCATCACTGTAACACAAAAGATTAACAGCATGAAGTAGGTCGCTTTAGCGACCAACTTCATGCTGTTACTTTTGTGTTTACCGCACATTAAGAAAATCTACCAACAAAATAGAAATAGAATCTTTATTTTGTGGATGCTAACGACTGCATTGTGAAGGCCTATCAAAAGTATTTATAAATCTGGAACAACGGAACCAAAGCGCGATTCAGGAGACTACAGCGCCATCTCTTGACCATTGGTGTAGTAGAACCAAAAACCACATCTTTATTTTTTGTAATAAAGTAATAGTTATAGGTATTCATATTTATAATATTTATCCACATGTTTCTAGTCTGTATATTCGGAATACGTGTTTGAGTTTCATACAAGTGCAAATCACATATGTTCTAATAAATTATATTCAGTAGCGATTTTAATTGAATATTTTGATTATTTATTTATTTTTTCAAATTAAAACTGAACTTTATTGACTGTGTCCTTTTCCAGACTTTTTATTAATTTATTGTAATTAATTATTTGCATGCAATTAAAAACTAATTATAAACGATGCCAAAGAAGGATAACTTCTCACGCGCCTACATAAGTACACGCACCCATTTTTTTTAAGCATTTAACTGCTAGATGTTTAAATCTAAAGAAAAGTTTACTAGAAAAAAGCCTTGCAGCTTAAGGCTAGGAAAATTTCGACGCGGCTAATAGGGCCGAAGGATGCGGGTTCGAGTCCCGTCCGCTGCCTGGTCCGCGTGGATTTTTTTCTAGTAAACTTTTCTTTAGATTTAATGATTATTATTATTATAGCCAAATAGCCGAACAGTCAAAAGCATACCTGCACAGCTTCGTCTCGCTTGTGGTACTCCCTCTCTTTGTCCCTATCCCGTAGACTGGTCGCCAACGCCCTCTGCACTTCCTTCTCCCTCTCCTTGATGGACGCCTGCGCACGCGCCTCCTTCTCCTTCTCCCGAGCCGCCTCCTCTTCCTGCGCTTCTGCTTCTTCCGGCTCTGCTTCTTCCACCTCTTCCACCGGCTCGGGGGCCGCTTCCTTCGGCTGCGAGAAGAAATATCCAATATACAAACATTTAAAATGAGAGTTAAGAAACTACTTGTGGGAAAAGCTTACTATACACTAGACAAATATATGACGGATAAATTTTAAATTAATGTTGTTGTTCATTTGTATTCCTAATTTGTTATTTTATTTCATTTGAATGACCTATCTTGTAATTGACCTATAATTTAATTTGACATAATTTGTAATTTGACATTATATTTATTTTGACATGTATTCTGATTTGCAATTATGGTAACACTTTTGTGACATATTATTATTTTCTTTTATTTGATTAACTGCGTTTATGCGTAAAAGTTTGACTGGTCTTCAATTAAATTCCGTTTTCAAACATTGCATTGATCAAATTCATATTCAAAAAAAAAAGACTTCGAGACATGCTATAAAACAAATCTTATTAATGTATAAACTAGCAAACCAGTGAACCAAATGTTCACCAAAACCTGATTTCTCGAAAACCAGAAGTGCTACGTTACTCAAATCCGGTTTGTAGTCTTATCAGACTATTCTTAACTTATAACTTAAATATTCTCTTTATCTATCTCTTACGGTTTGGCCGCTGAAACAGCACCACAGACTTGTCTAATAGATAAGAGATGAACATCTGATGGATAAGGACTTAATTAAGTAATATATAGATATGATTACGATGAATGACATTTAATATTGTGATGACTTTTGAATTTAATTTTATTGTAATTGTTTTTTTTTTGTCAGCTTAAGTTTATGATTTTCAGATCATTGGAGCTAAAGAAGTTTCACTTCAGTCGTGTGGTTATAAGCACACTCGCTTTTTTCTGTTCTCGTGGGTAGATAAAATCTGACACGCCGTTTCCATACAAACTTAAGTACAGATCGCGGCACCTAACTCTAGCGCTGAACTGCACGCTGGGGGGCGTCGCTACGCATGTCGGGGGGTCCGAGTGTGTCCGTGATGCTAGCGTACCCATGATCAATATACGGTTTTTCGTTATGCCATTAAATACTGCGTAAATAGTGCCAAATTAATGTAAAAATAAAAAAAATAGTGCCTCTTTAATTTAAGAAATAAAGACCATTTTTACTGTGTACGCTACCATGACGTCAAGCTAGCGTACCCACGGCCATGGCCGACCCCAAGAACGGCATATATTTAAGCAACGAAATTGACACACAAAAATAGTTCGTAAATAGTGCCCTGGCTTTATAAAATTTCATAATCAATACTCTTAAAGGACCGAAGATATTGAACTAAACATTCTTAGCTGGCGTCAACCTGGCGTACCCATAATAGTTCTCATAGAAAATGAACTTTTCTCGTTATCAATTCTATATGTATAAATAGTGTGTCAAATAGTGCCTCTAACAGTAAAAATATTTTATGTGAATCCGCGTCACAACAATACATACAGAGGATGTTAAATTCTAGGAACAAATGTATTGTAGTACAGTTGCACACAAAATTAATTTATGCACTAAGAGATTATCTATATATGTATTTTTACTAAAATAAATAGGTACTTTTTATAAAAAGATATTTTATTTCAATTCGAATTCACCAATCATAAATTCATATAAGAATTTCAACCTACCTACTAAGTACCTTACTTACCTACTATACTGCGAAAATATTATCTCTTCTGTACATGACTGTACTTCATATATGAAAATAATGTTATTGCTTTTTTTATATTGTTTTACTGCGAATTCACGTAAAATACTTTTACTGTTAGAGGCAATATTTGACACACTATTTATACATATAGCATTGATAACGAGAAAAGTTCATTTTCTATGAGAACTATTATGGGTACGCCAGGTTGACGCCAGCTAAGAATGTTTAGTTCAATATCTTCGGTCCTTTAAGAGTATTGATTATGAAATTTTGTAAAGCCAGGGCACTATTTGCGAACTATTTTTGTGTGTCAATTTCGTTGCTTAAATATAATGCCGTTCTTGGGGTCGGCCATGGGTACGCTAGCTTGACGTCATGGTAGCGTACACAGTAAAAATGGTCTTTATTTCTTAAATTAAAGAGGCACTATTTTTTTTATTTTTACTCTAATTTGGCACTATTTACGCAGTAGTTAATGGCATAACGAAAGACCGTATATTGATAGTGGGTAGGCTAGCATCACGGACACGTCCGAGTGGAGAGACAATCGGCGCAGGGCGGGACCACCCGCGCACCTCATTTCCCCCCCAACACATCTTCATTTTAAATAAAACTAGTTTTAACGGATTAATACGATACGACAAAATTAAATTAAAAAAAAAAATTGTGTGCGTGTACTAGTGTACACACGTAAGAAGTGAAACTTCTTTATGGCCTTATTTTTTTCGAAAAATGATCTACATGCAACTTTCCAGAAATATATATATAGGCGTGCGCTAAGATTTTTCAAAAACTCACCCACTAAAGGGGTATAACTACACCTTACCTTACCTTACCTTGTGTGAAACACGAATATTTGCTGTCGATACTTTTTTTTTTAAAGTTGACAGAAGAAGCAATTGTTCGGATGAGGTAAATAGTGCTCTTTTAAAAAAAAGATGGCGCGTAACCAAAAAACGTGACGCGTAACCGAAAAAATGTGACGGTAAATTTTTTTCCAACGCCGAAAAGGAGGTTTCACTTCAAAACATTATTCTGACGATGCAGACCTGAAAAGGCTGCGAAACGTCAATAAATAAATAAAGTTTCGTGCATTAACCCGTTAAAACTAGTTTTATTTAATGAGTGATGTGCGTGAAAACCTAAGAAACAAATATCTTCATTTTACTTTCTGCGCTATAACTACCTAAGCTAGAGCTTCGTGCCGCGACTTATAAATGCGGCGCCTACTTTGATCTAGATCTGTGATTAGGACAGAACTAGCAAACCAGTGAATCAAATGTTCACCAAAGCCTGATTTAAAAAAAAATGTATTTAATTAATTGAGAACTTCGGAGATTTTGTGTGGTTTCGTTTGAAATTCGTGATTTCTCGAAAACCGGAAGTGCTACGTTACTCAAATCCGGTTTGTAGTCTTATCACACTATTCTTAACTTATAACTTAAACATTCTCTTTATCTATCTCTTACGGTTTGGCCGCTGAAACAGCACCACAGACAGACGGACGGACGGACTTGTCTAATAGATGGTGGCTAGCTTTAAATTACCACATGATTATAATAACGTTAATTAAATCTAAAGAAAATATAACTAGGAAAAAATCCACGCGGACCAGGCAGCAGACGGGACTCAAACCCGCACCCTTCGCAATCCGGGCGAATGCACTGACCAATTATGCTACCGCGGCCCTCACGCACCGCGTCGAAATTCTTCTAGCCATTCTTAAGCTGCAAGGCAGCGCCATCTCTTCGCATTGTAGGTAACCCACAATGTCAAATGAATACTTTTACAAGTATTAAACATTTGAAAGAAGAAATAGCAATTATAGTTATAATTTAATTTAAAATAATAAAAATTATAACGTTAATTAAAGTTAAACCCAGCGTAAAAATGATAGCGTCACCTTGCTTTATGAAAGACAGAGACAGCATTAGGTTTAATTACACATAACTAATAACCGTTCGACTGCGATCTTTGAAGACTCTCAAATTGACGACTCTGTATATAATACAGGGAGAAAAAAACAGCCCTTGCTGAGTTTCTTGCCGATTCTTCTCAATACAAGGTCTCCCGCCGTAGATTTGCGAACCGATGGCGTAGCTTTTCGACATTCATAAGTGCTTGTAACAGCCTAGACTGAATAAACGATATTGAATTGAAGCTAAGCAACTTTCGCAGTGGCCGGTCATTGGATGGGTAACCAAACATTTACTATCCCGAGCTCCTCCGTGGCACGCACGTTTGGCCGTTCGTCCCGGCTGCACCTGCAGTCGTTAGCACCCACCAATCCGCACTGAGCTCGCGTGGTGGGTCATGGCCCAATCTCTCTATACCATCTATAGGGAAGGCCTGTGCCCCAGCAGTGGGGACATTAATAAGCTGATGATGATGATGAATAACCGTTCCATGTCCAACTACAAAGTTAAACTAGCCAGATAAGCAAGAGATAACCAGTGCCGTCTTTGACCTATTGGAGGCCCTGTGCATCTCTTATCTATTAGACAAGTCCGTCCGTCCGTCCGTCTGTCTGTGGTGCTGTTTCAGCGGCCAAACCGTAAGAGATAGATAAAGAGAATATTTAAGTTATAAGTTAAGAATAGTCTGATAAGACTACAAACCGGATTTGAGTAACGTAGCACTTCCGGTTTTCGAGAAATCACGAATTTCAAACGAAACCACACAAAATCTCCGAAGTTCTCAATTAATTAAATACTTTTTTTTTAAATCAGGTTTTGGTGAACATTTAGTTCACTGGTTTGCTAGTATTAGGATAATGGGGCCCCTACGACCCCCGTTTGGTGATTTAACAGGAACTAGGGACTATGTATTTGATCTGAGGGGGGCCCCTATCGATCGCGGGGCCCATGGCACTTGCCCAAAGTGTCCACTGGGAAAGAGGGGTCTGGAGATAACAGTCGTGCATTACTTCGTACAAGCGTTGGATGCATCACCGTCTTCTATCTAGGAGAGTTATCAAATTTCAATTTCGGTCCGTGTATGCGCGTCTTAGATTAAGACAATAAGGTAATACTAGCAAACCAGTGAACCAAATGTTCACCAAAACCTGATTTAAAAAAAAATGTATTTAATTAATTGAGAACTTCGGAGATTTTGTGTGATTTCGTTTGAAATTCGTGATTTCTCGAAAACCGGAAGTGCTATTCTTAACTTATAACTTAAATATTCTCTTTATCTATCTCTTACGGTTTGGCCGCTGAAACAGCTCCACAGACAGACGGACGGACGGACTTGTCTAATAGATAAGAGATACAGCATTCGCGGCTCAAAAGTGATGCGCCTTAATTGTGGCGCATGACCACAATTCGCTTTGGTCACAATTGGACATTCAAACACTCTGCATGTGCACTCTATATAACAATATTGC